GAAAAGCCCTGGTCTGAATGGCTCCAGGAGTATGAGGATCAGAAACATACAGCAGAGGAAGTGAAAGTTCTGCTGGCAAGACAGTTTAGACCAGGTGATGCTTTATCCAGCGGGATTGCAGAGAATGAAGCAGAACAGTGGGGGCTGTGAGGCCTCAGACACTGTCATGGGGCTGATAGGAGTCACTTATTTTGGAATTGTTCCATGTTCCTTGCTTCCGTGTGCTTAGAAGACATCAGGGCAACTTTGGGCAGCTTAATTTTTTTCTATACATAATAATAATAATATATAGAATGGTGCAGAATATGTGTTTGTCAAATAGTTCAGCCTGCATGCAAAAACCAGTCTACTATAGAATGAAATGAATCTGCCCAAAGTATTTGGGAATATTCCCAAAGTATTTGGGAAATATTTGGAAATATTCAAACGTTTCAAAATTATTGACTTTGGTTTTGATGAATGGCATTTGACAAATGAGGCTTGTCTTGCCACCTCTTAGCGTTTCTCACTCATCAAAGGCAAGGAGCTACATGTGACAACCTCGGGTATGACCGCCGGTGAGTCTCACTCTTGGAATCTGAGCTTACTTTTCTCTGAAAGTGATGTCACAACACCTGCCCTGACTACCTCTCCAGGCTATGTAGGTGGGGCTCACCTGAGACAAAGTGCATGGGACAATTTTGCAAAGGGCAGGGCTAATCTGTCCCACATGGCGTCTGTCTCCAAGGATAGGCGTGTGACATTCTCCTGTACCTTGCTCTCCAACTGTGGTGGTCAGTCCTGGTGGTGGTAGATAGGGTGGGGGGGTCAGGGGGGGTCCCGTTGTCCTTTAGGCCGAGCCCCTAAGAGGGGCTTCACCCTGGGCACTGATGGCTGCAATGTGGGCAAGCTGGCTGCCAGCCCAGACCTGCCAGGGACTTGTCATGTCACATGTGATTCAGCAGCAACTGTAAGTGATGTTGGCAGAGCTGCTCCAGGTGCTGGATGCTATGGTGCAGGCAGTTGACAAACGATAGTTAGACCACCACCTTCTACGCCACTCTCTCACTCATTCATTAATTCACATAGGCATGTACTCAGGGTCTTCTGGGTTTATTGCTTTGTAGTCCATACCCTGGAGCCAGAGTCAAAATGCCATGTTCACAAGAAGGTGGCACAGCCCATTCTCACCAAGGGATAAAAGGTTAAATGCATTCTTTTACTTAACAGACTGAGTTAAGGTGAATTTTATTCCCCCTCTTCTATTTGATCACTGTCTTCATTTCTTTGCCCCTGGCGCCACAAAGTCAAGTGTGGTAGATCTGAAATCCCATGAGAAAAGCCCTGGACATCTGACCCCATCCTCTTGTGAGCAATGCCAGGGTGCTCACTCCCAATTCAGCGCAGGGCTCTTAAACAGGAGCCGCCGAAAGCCTGCCGTGTACCGGCGGCAGCTCTGGGTGCAAGCCCAGCTAGAAGTGCTTCCTATGTATTGCTTGTGGACCTGGAAAGTCCAGGTACGATGGTGTATTGCACATTTGTCATTCTTGGATGCTCGAAATTGTTTAAACATCCTCTCTGCATTTTGACCGTTCACCACATCGTAAATCCCACCTTTTCGTTGTAGAGAGCCATCCCCTCTTGCTGCTAGGGACATGGGTCCCACCATCCAGTTGCACTTCCTGAAACTTCCAAGCCACCATCCAGGTTTGCCCAGCACTGAGAATGTCCTGGGATGTGAGGCTTTCTTTCGGTGCTGAAACTGGCAAGGCCCTGGGTGACCTGAGCTGAGTTGGTCACCATGTGAAGCAGCCTATATGAGACAATAGGCTGGCCTGGGCAGAGTTGTTGTGACAGTCGCCTCTTCATCCAGTTCCTCGAGGCGTGCTGGGAGCTGTCCCTGCAAACGCAGGCTGGAGACTATTTCCAACCATCGTCTAAGCTTCTGAATATTCTTTGCTTTATCTCCTGCTTTAAACCAGCTGGCCGGAGCTCTGCCACCTGACAAGACGGGGGTCTCAGGTGTAGTTGTCAGGGGCTTAGAGGTGCAGTGTTGTCATCAAGACTGTGTCTCTTCAATTGGTGGCACCCAGCTTAGGTGGCTCCCCTTGTGGTTATCGCTGCCCGTCGTGTGACAGGGCTACTAACCGCTCTCCCTGGCAGCCAGTGGAGAGAGGGCTTCTGCTCCGTAATTCCAATCAAGACTCCAGAAATGTACCCCAATTGAACTGACTTAGGTCACACTCGTTTTAAAATGTAAGTTTTATTATTATTCAGGTATGGCGAAGCCAACAGATCATGAAGTGGCCACCACTGAGAACGTAGTTTGTTACAGTTCCCAGGACAAGGGGGCCACTCCCGTGCCACTGGGGGTTAGGAGGGGGACATGGGGAAGCACCGGGGTTGCTCTCAAGGCGGAGGGAGTGAGGGGAGGGCATGAGCAAGAGTCTGTGCTGTGTCCCACAGGAAAGACCAGGCGAGGCACAGTGAGCAGGTGCAGGGGCGGCTGGTTTGAGTAAACTCAATGGGCTCTTGGGTGTAGGGGTTGTTCCAGGGGCTGTTCCAGTTGTTTGTCCCTGGTCCTGGGCATGGTTAGGGCACAGGAAAATTGCCTCCTGCAGTGTTAGAGCCACACAGAGGAGGTGCTTCAGGGTATGAGCTTTGGATTTCTGAGTTTGCATGGGAAAGACACGCTCCTGGGTGAGCCCTTTGCTGTCTCTAAGAATTGGCTGCCCTAGAAGGGGCAGCCTCTTCCCAGTCTGTAGGCCCCAGATGCCAGAGCATCAGGAGTACAGAAAATAAGGAGCTATAATTAATACTATACTCTCACCAAAATAATGATATGGCCCGAGGAATGGACAGTGCTAATTGGCTTAAGGTGAGTCAAGCATGGCCCAAAGCACACAGCCTGTGTTGGCAAGAGAATTACCAGAATTTTAATTACCACAATTAAAATCGGTTTCCTGTTAGGCCGTGGAAGGTTGGGGGAAACATAGCAAGTGGTATGACATATGGCTCTTGCCTTTGCTACCTGTAAAACCGTCAGGTTCAGCTCAAATGTGACTTCTAGCGTAAAGCCTCCAGCAGGGACTCTCTCGGCTGAGCTCTGCTCTGCTGCTGAGTTACACCTGATCACATGTCACATATCTCATTGCATGGTAATGCAATGTGCCTACACGTCCCCCCTACGATCCCGTAAGCTCATGGAAGGCCAAGGTCTTTCTTCATGATGTGTGTCCTTCTCCAGCAGACCGTGGCTGCACGTAGCCTTGCACCCAGCAACATGGACCTTGCAGACAGTGGCGACTGAATGACCAGCCAGCCATCAGAGTCTTTGATTTCATCACCTCCTAGGTTTCTGAAGCCCAGCCTAACCAGGAACTCTGTTCCACGAGAACCTGGACTACAAAATTGTGACCATCTCCTCTTTCCTTGCTCGTCCTCCTCCTCTTCTTCCTTTTCTTTCTTTGTCATTTGCACAGTGCCAAGGACTTGGGCCCTCAGCTTTTTCTAAATAATCTTTATCCCATTGTCACCTGCTATAGTTTGGATATTTGTCCCCACCCCCACCTCATGTTGAAATTTGATCCCCGGAGTTGGAGGTGGGGTCTAGCGGGAGGTATTTGGGTCACAGGAGCAGATCTCTCACAATGGCGTGGTGCTGTCCTCATGGGGATGAGTGGGTTCTTACCCTATGGGTTCCTGAGAGAGCTGGTTGTTAAGAAGAGCCTAGCACCCCTTTCCTCTCTCTGGCTTCCTCTCTCACCATGTGATCTCTGCATAAGCCAAATAACCTTTTTCTAAACAAATTACCCAGTCTCAGGATTCCTTCAAGGCAACACTAAATGGACTAAGACATCAACACTTCTGCCCACTCTTTGTCCTTAGAGACAGTCACCACGGAGCACCTTCATCTCAGGAGGCGTGTGCCCTTACCTACTTACCAAAAGACTGCGTGAGGTTGGGCAGGAGATGTGGACAGAGGTTCTCCACTTGCATCAACTGAGTAAGCCGTTTGATGTAGAAGTGGAGGCTCATTATTTAAACACTTCTCGTGTTCTTTCACGTAGGGATGAGAACTGAGAAGAGAGCTTTGCTTTAAAGACACCTTTAATCAAAGAGAGCTCAGTTAAAGGGCTGAAAGACAAAACTTGTCATTTTGAAATGAGCAGGCCAGTTGTCTCAAAGGAAATTATTAGCATATTTCAAGAACAGCAGTGTTAGAGCAGACTTGAGAATGCAAACGCCTGAGAGTCAAACACTGCAAGTTAAACAGAGGAGATCAATCAGATCCCAGTACACGAGGGCCGGAATTCAGAGATGTAATCAGCAGGCATTTTCCTTGATTGTTTCTCAGCTCCATATGCAGCTGACATGATTACAGGGGGGCCAAGGTAGTTCCTCCTCACCTGAGGAGCGGAGGCAGAAGCCCAGAAGGGAGGAGAGTGCACACTCCCTCCCAATAACACGAGAAAGCAATACCAGGAAATGGGGAAGACAAAGGTCCACACACCAACTTTTCCCAAGAGAATTCTATGAAACTCTCATTTCATGAGATGCTCTGTAATCAAATAACTTTGGCAAATGCTTTGTATTCTAAATCCCCTTGCAGGTGCATTACAGACATTAGTATATTAAAAGCACGGAGAAGTCCTGCAACAAAATAATCAGTTAAACTGCTTCCAAACCCAGAATTCTCAAACATATTTGGCCAGACAAAATTTTTTCCCATAAAACATCCTGTGGAACTAGTGTTTCCTAGCACACGGTTTGGGAAATATTGCCTTGACCCATTTTAAGGCCTTCATTTGGCCGTCAGTTTCAGCCTCTGTTCCTACCAACACTTCTAAGAGAACCACTAAGAAGTCTGACATTGGACTTTCACGTTCATGTGTTAATGCTACTCACACTCTAGGAGGAGCGTTGAGGCACAGCAGAGGATCCCAAATGCTGGGGCAGCCACTCTAGAGTCTGAGGAGTGCCCAGATCCCACCTACAATGAAGTCTTCCCTGGATGAACAGCCGAAAAGACCCTGTAAGTTGGGCTCTGCACCAGGGGAAAAAATCTGGTGGCATCTAGGTGAGCCTTGTCACATCAAAGCTACAGACAGTCAGTGTGGGGTTCCCAGGGCACCATGCCCAGGCTCTTTTGGAAATGAACATGACTAGCAGGAACATGGAAGCATATAAGGTCTGGCTGGTTGTGTAGACTGACAGCCCTTGATGGGGTATATGGGGAAGCCACAACTCTGTTCCCATAAGGGACCCCAGGAACTCAGGTCAGCTCAGGCAACCTGGAGAGCAGACACTGGTGCTAGATTCCATGCCCCCGGTAGAGAGGGAATGTCTCCTAATACACAGGTGTGTCCTGACCTGCATTGTCTCAGGGCTTAGTAGTGCAGAGCTGATAGTTGGCAGACGTCACTGCAGACACCTGGGTAGGATTGGACCCACCTGGAGGGATACCTGTACTGACTTATAAAAAGCAGCAAATGAAGAAGCCAGGACCCTTCCTGGAAGATAAAGCCACTACTAGTTGTTGATGCCAAGACAGAAGTCAGGAAATCAAGACAAGAAAATCTGGGGCGCTGTGGCAGTTGTGTTTGGTTGTGTGGGTGATATAGTTACAGACTGTACCAGGGTGGCTGATCAAGAAAGCTAGGCTAGGGCTGAAATCTAATCTACATTCCACCTGCCAGGCTGGAAGCCCTCACATGGCACTATGCATACTTATAGAAAGCGGCACCTTTTACTAATTCACACAAAGTCCAACGGGGCCCCGATGGGCAGGGTGCCAAGCCTCAGCTTGTGAGGTGAGAGAAGGGGGACCTGGCTGGGGTGTTTCAGCACACTTGGCATGTAAATTTGGGCAAAACAGGTAATAAACTGAGACTGTAGGCAAATCCGAAATCTCAAGCTGGCAAGGACGTGCAGGCAAACAAAACACAGGAAAAAGGGTTCCTTGTGGTCAGCCCAGGTGAACCCAACTGGTCTGTTCTAACAGTGCCTCTTTGAAAGCTCCAAGTTCCCCCCTCATTCTCTTTCACAAGACTTGAAGGTGTGGTTCTGACCTAAGTGTCTGACCATGTATGAACTCTTCTCTATTTTTAATAGAGTAACAACAGCCAAGGATCTAAGGAGAGCTTTGCAGCCAGCCCTAGGAATGGGGCTGGAAACACAGCACCTGGCACTAATGGTGTTTAGAAGCAGCCCGGAGGAATGAATTTTCAATAGTGCTCGATGTATATGGGCCTTGGGTTTACTGAGCATGGTCTTACGGTGAAGGGCATCATTTTAGACAGTGTTTCCTGCTGTTGCTCAGGTTACCTGTCTCTTTGATTGGTATCACTACAAATATTTGGCTTACAATACGGACTCTCTAATCTGCTCACCTGCCTTATTCTTTGTTCTCTGATCAGCTTGACTTTGCACTCCCTGCCTCCACCAGCTGCTCCTTCACCTTCACCGTTTTCTTAAGTTTCGTATCATTTTTACTGTGTGACTGTACCTCCCACAGTACAGAAATAATAAATGTCACCAGAAATGAGCTTCTTCAGGCTTTCTACCCACTATCACAAACTTTAGTTCTAATGGCATTTATTCTTTGCTCATTCTCTGCCTGCAGAAGGAAATGTCTTTTCCAACGTAAAGACAAAGATCTCCTTGATTCTGTCTGACCTACAAGCTACCTCTATCTCATGCTCTCTCTCTTTGCCACAAAACTTGTTAAAAGAGTATCGTAGACTTCCACTATTGCCCATGATAGACTACAGGGGCTAGAATTACCCTCCCACCTTCCACACCTAGAAAACTGGACGAAATTATAAGAAACAACTTTTTTAGAAAGTAGACTATAGTCCAAAGTTGAGATTACTGAGCAAGAGAAATAAACAAGATAAGCCCTACAGTTGCTCCAGCTCAGTGCTGGGAGGCAATTTGCAGGCTGCAGTGCAGAAAGGGGGTTCCCAAAAAGTCTGAGGGTCATGCTGAGCTCAGGAAAAGAATTTGGAATTGGGGAAGAGGGAGGCAAGGTGTCTAGAATTTGTGGAATAGTATATTGAAAGAAGAAAAAAAGTGACCTGCACAGAGAAAGGGCTCTAGAAATCTGTGGGAGAAATCACACCAAGTCTTTAGATGAGTACAGATCTGCTCATCTGTGAAAGGAAACTGCATGAACCTGGGGAATGAACTCTGCAAAGCAGTAAGCTAAACACTCCTAGTGCTCATACGTAGGTAGGACACTTTGTACTCCCACCAGCCAAAGTAGACAGACATTATAATACATAGGACATCAAGTACAGTCTTCAGGAAAATACTACCTTAGTAGCAGAGATAAATTAGCCCTAGACTAAAGGCTGTTTCTGACGTACTTCCAAAAAGCTTAACAGCAAGCCTTGAAAGGAGCAAATAAACTCAGAGCAATGTATACACCTACCAGAACTAAGAGAAACACCAAAAATTTAGCATCTCAAAAATCTAAACTTCAAAATGTCCAGCATTCAACCAAAAATTACTAGAAAAGCAAAAAGCAAGAAAATACTACTTTTTGCTGACAATATGACCTTGTATCAGCAAACCCCAAAGATTCCACCCAGAGACTCCTAGAATTGATAAATAAATTCAGCAAAGTCTCAGGTTATGAAGTCACTGTACACAAAAAGGTACCATTTCTATATACCAATAACAACCAGGCTGAGAGTCAAATCAAAGACTCAATACCATTCACAATAGCTACAAAGAAAATAAAATACCTAGGAATATACCAAGGAGGTGAAAGATTTCTACAAGGAGAACTATGAAACACTGTGGAAAGAAATCGCAGATGAATCAAATCCATCTTCCCCAAAAAAAGAAGAAGAAGAAGAAGAAAAAGAAATCCCAGATGAAATAAACACTTGGAGAAACACACCATGCTCATGGATTGGTAGAAATCAACATTGTTAAAATGCCCATACTACCCAAAGTGATTCACAGATTCAATGCAATCCCCATCAAAATACCGATTTCACAGATCTAGAAAAAAATAATTCTATGCTTCATTTGAAACCAGAAAAGAGCCTAAATAGCCAAGGAAATCCTAAGCAAAAAGAACAAAGCTGGAGGCATCACACTACCAGACTTCAAATTATACTACAAGGCTATCGTAACTGAAACCGCATGGGGTTGTTACGAAAATAGAGATATAGACCAATGTAACAGAACAGAGAACCCAGATATAAAACCATCTACCTACAGCCAACTGGCATTTGGCAAAGCAGACAACAACGTGCTCTGGGGAAAAGAAGCCCTATTCAACAAATGGTGCTGGGAAAATTGTATAGCTATATGCAGAAGAATGGAATAAGACCCCTATCTCTCACCACTTACAAAAATTAATTTGAAATGGATAAAAACTTAAATGTAAGGCATGAAACTACAAGAATTCTAGAAGAAAATGTAGTAAAAACTCTTGTAGATATTAGTGTAGGCAAAGAATTTGTAACTAAGACCCCAATGGCAATTACAGCAATAACAAAAATACATAAATGAGACTTGATTGAATTAAAAAGCTTCTGCACAGCTGAGGAAATAATCAACAGAACAAATAGACAACCTACAGAATGGGAGAAAATATTCGCAATCTAAACATCTGATAAAGGGCTAATATTCAGAATCTACAAAGAACTCAAATCAGAAAGAAAAAAAACAATCCCATTTAAAAAGTGGGGGAAAGACATGAGCAGAGCTTTTCAAAAGAAAATAGACAAATGGTCAATAAATATATGAAAAAATGCTCAACATCACTAATAATCAGGTAAATGCAATCAAAACCACAATGAGAAATTACCTCACTCCATTAGAATGGCTTATATTAAAAAGCCCAAAAACAATAGGTCCTGCCATGGATGCAGAAAGAAATGAATGCTTATACACAGTTGGTGAGACTACAACTTAGTGTAATCTTTATGGAAAACAGTATGGTGATTCCTCAAAGAACTAAAAGTGACCTGCCATTTGATCCAGCAATTCCACTACTGGGTATCTACCCAAAGGAAAATAAGTCTTTCTATCAAAAAGACACCTACACTCAAATGTTTATTTCAGCACAATTCCCAATTGCAAAGATGTGGAATCAACCTAAGTGCCCATCAATTCATGAGCGGATTGATAAAATGTGGTATATGTATACCATGGAATATTACTCAGCCATAAAAAGGATGAATTAATGCCTTTTGCAATAATGTGGATAGAACTCAAGACCATTCTCCTAAGTGAAATATCTCAAGAATGGAAAAACAAACACCATAGGTACTCTCTAATAAATTGGAACTAACCGATAGATACACAAATGCATAGAGGAAAGCAAAGTCATTGGAAATCAAGCAGTGGGGAGGAGGAGGAAGCGGGGGGCAGAACTCCACCTAACAGGTACAATGAACACTAATCAGGTGGTGGCCACATTTATAGCCCTGACTCAAGCCATGTAACAAAAACATTTGTCCTCCTTAGTATTTTAAAATAAGAAAAAGATGAGAAAATATGAACCATTATCAGGAGAAAAATAACCAATAGAAACAGAAATGAAAGATATGATAGAATTAGCAGATAAGAATATTAAGACGGTTATAAATATGCTCCATCGTACAAGAAAGTAGAAGAAAAGACAAATATAATGAGGCAATAAATGAAATATATAAAAATACTTAAATGGAACTTATAAAGATGAAGAATATGATATTTAAAATATAAATGCACTGAAATATGTGAGATAAAAGAGATCAAAATTTCATAACAATAAAGAGGTCAAGCAATCAAGAGGACATTGAAATGTTAAATATGTATTAACTAGTAACCCACTTCAAAATGAAGTAAAATTAATAGAACTGAAAGAAGCAATAAAGTTACCAATTATAGTTGGAAATTTCAACATTTCTTTTTCAATTACTGATAGAATAAGAAGAAATAAAATCAGTAAAAATATAGATTTCAACAACACTAACAACCAATTTGTCATTTATTTAACACTCCATCTCAGAATAGCCCAATATATATTATTTTCAAGTTCATATAAATCATTTACCAAATAGACCATATCTGGAC